TGTGTGTGTGTGTGTGTGTGTGTTCGCGGGGGGGAGGCGAACCCCCCACAATCAATCAATCAATCAATCAATCAATGAATCAAAAAAAAAGAAAAAAAAAGAAAAAGAAAAAGAAGTTGCGCCTGTTTTTTCGTGTGTGTGTGTGTGTGTGTGCGTGAGAGTGTTCGTGGGGGGAGGCGACCCCCCCCCCACAATCAATCAATCAATCAATCAATCAATCAATCATCTCTCTGAGTGGAATTTTTTTCGTTTTTTTTTTATTCTACGATCAATCAATCAATCAATCAATCAATCGATCAATCAATCAATCAATCAATCGATCAATCAATCAATCAATCAATCTTTTTTTTTTTTTTTTTTCACCCGGGAATGGGGGGTTACCCCCCGACACCCGACCCCCCCCCAGCCCATCCACCCCCTCAAACCCCCCCCGGAAGGACACACACGGAGGGCCCTAATTCCATACGTACGGCCCGTACCGGGGGCAAGGGGGCCATACGTACGGTCAAACGGGAAAATGTACGGCCCGTATACGTACAGCCGTATACTCTTAGTGGTCCAATGACATGACATTATCTGGTGCTACATTGCTATCCTTTCCTTTCAGCACTGAAGCAGTTGCCTCCACAACTTTAGGATACTATCATGCCAGATTTGATTTCCTGCTGCTAGTTAGAATGTGCATATCAGACGTTTGCTTTTCTTTATGACATTATGTAGCTTAGGCTGCATCGCATGGACTTCACATGGTGCTTGCTCCACATCCTAGATTTCTCAGCTTTGTTGTTGCAAAGTTCTGCTACTTGTGCGGATAGTGTTTACGGCTCTTGCAATCCACTATAGGGGTGAGGATTGTACAGCGGGCCTCTATCTACCCTGACCTATAGCAAGGGCTATTTGGCAATTTATCTTTTCGAACTGTTGGACCAGGCTGTTGGCCTGACCCCACAGGTCATGTCACTCATGTGTCTATTCAGTCCAGTCCAGTCCAGTACCACTGTCGATACCAGTCCAATGAAGTCCAGTCCAGTCAGTCCGCTGGGGGTATACCCCAGCTGCCATCTGTATTCTCATTCATTCTTCATTTGCACATCTTGTCGTACGTGCATGTTGAGTCCGTGTCGACGCTGCACTGTCCCTTCCAGCTCCATCCCCATCTCCTCCTTCCTCMCCCCTTCGTCTTGAGACTGATCAGACCGCCATACCGGCGGGTACGTCACAGTGGAGGTGACCCAGACGGAGGTGGGAGAAGGCCGAGATATGGCGGAGGCCATACCGACGGGTACGTCACAATGGACGTGCCCCACGTGGGAGAAGGCCTAGATATGGCAGAGGCCTAGGTAGGAGGAAGAGGAAGGACACGGAGAAGGGAGGAGGAGGAGAGTGAAGGAGGAGCTTACCTTGGTTATAATGGCGTGCTTCTTCATACTTTTGGCTGGCGATGCACTTGCAAGGCCCCAACTAGGGTGATACTTGGAAGGGAGACTCCATGAGTAGATTGTGGCAGGGCAGCCACAGTGGAAAAAGTAGAGTAACTTTGTATTGTCCTTTAAGCATAGGAGCTCAGCTCCAGTAGTCTGCCATAGCCACTCGCTTAGTTAAGTGTGGAAGGTGTAGGATGGCTATGGCAGACTTCTCGAGTGGCTGGAAGGGGAGGAATCAGACACTGATTCTGGTTCATTCATTCATTGTTGTTGTTGTTGTTAAAAACTATAAGTTGGGAGATGAGGGAAGTGTGACATTGGGTCTTGTTTGTGTTAATCTTCTTCTTCGTCGATTCTCCATTCTTCTTCCTCCTTCGTCTATTTCTCCCTCTTCCGATCTCTTTCATTTCAGTTGCAATTGAACGGCATTGTCTTTCTTGAGTTTTTGCACTTGAGATACCCAGGATCATAACATTTTTTTCTTTTCTTTTCTTTTGCTTCCTGTCGTTTTCCTACATGTTCTTCAAGTTTGCTTCTTGTTTGTTTTTGTTTCTTTCTTTTCTTTTCATGCATGGACCACAGAAAGTGGGCGACATGTTTCTTTTTTACATTTTGATAACCTAACAGTGTTGCACGATATACCTGCATGACTCCTGGCCTCCACCTGGGCCACACACAGCCTGCTTTGTCACAGTGCGTATTCAGCTGCAAATTTCCAGGGTGGCAGCAGGGACTGTTGGTCTAAACCCCGTTTATAACCCCCTCCCCCCCCCTCCCCCAACCCAAAACGCTACAAAATAAAAAGGTGCCCAAATTCAGGCCAGCCACGGTGGTCACAGAAATGCCCCATAAACAACAAACCAAAACGCTACAAAATAAAAAGGTGCCCAAATTCGGGCCAGCCACGGTGGTCACAGAATTGCCCCATCAACAATGCTAAATGGAGACAAAAAGGCCACCTTTCTCCACCTACCAGGTTACCCAGGCAGGCTGACTGCTCGGGCAGGTCGCCCAGATGCCCAGCCGCGCAGGCCCACCACCAACCTCATGTTCTTCAAGCTTTTCCATTCTGCATACATAACCATAGAACAGGAGGAAGAGAAAAATGATACGTGTTTTCCATGGAACAGGAGACAAAGACATTGCAAGGTGACTGAGGCTTACAGGGTGGGAAACAACCAGAACACTCTGGACAGAAGATAAGGGGAACAGGGGCTGGAAGAAGGAGGTTAGTAGGTTTACGAGGAAGATGGTATGTAAGGACCCACTCGATACTCTTCATTGGAGATGTTAACAACGCAGACGTTCCACCAGGAGTCAATGTTGAAGTCCACTGGGGCACTGGGCAAATGCTCTTTCAGAATAGACTTGTTGATCTTCCACATCAGCTTCTGCCAACCAAACACAAGCAGTTCGGTTAATCAACGCATTCCAAAAACTACATGAGAACACACATCCTGCATTTATGAGCAAGGTAGTGATGATCCATGTTATCTTGCACCAAGTCACGTACAGAATCACAACAATACACTGTATCCAACATGGCTAGAAACCATATGTTGGGCCATTGTTGGCTGAAAAGAGATGGGTGGTGCGGAGACTGGAACCACACACTTCCCACAAGCCTTTCCTCCTGAACGTCACCTCTGGGCAGCCTGTATCATCCACACAAGCAGGGGTATATTACATATGTAATCCAGCCTAAGAAGAACCTGAAACTCGGCAAAAAGGTTAGGAAGAAAAGGAGCATGCACCACCAAAAGTACGAAACACAGAGAAAAAGAGAATGGAAACAAGAGGGAAGCGAGAGTGAGAGACACAAAATGTGTGTGTGCAACATAGAGAGAGAGCTGCTGTGAGACAGTTAGCACTGTGCAGAAGGCCCTTCCCCAAGTTGCTCTGTGCAAAGAAAATACGAGGAAGAAAACAAGATAACAAGCTGGAGCGAATAGAGGGCAAGCTCACACTGCAACCTTTTCAACTCCATATAGATTATCTGCACCAGCTTCACCTGGAGAACAGAACTGTATCCGACATGGCTCCAAATCACACGTCGGCTGAAATGACTGAGTGGAATGGAACCATAAAACCAGCACTGCCTACAATACTTGCCTCCTGAAGATCGCCTATGGGCATCGGGTATCATCCAGCTAAGCAGTAGGTCTACAGCTCATCCCATGGCTATATGTGATCCAACCTCAGAAGAACCTGGAACTTGGCAAGATGGTCAGGAAGAAAAAGAACATGGGCCACTAAAGGAAAACAAAAACACAGAGAAGACAGGGACGATAGGGAAAACATGCAGGAGGGGGACATACAGTCCCTGTGTGCAAGAGAGAGAGAGAGAGAGAGAAGGGTGGGGGGGGGGGAACTGTTGTGAGACAGGTAGTACTGTGCAGATGGCCCTTTCCCAAGTTACTTTGCGACAAAAAAACAAAGAAATCACAGGGCGGAGGAATATATACAAAGAGAACATGCTCACACTACGACATTTTCAACTCAATATGGATGACTTGTGCCTGCTTAACCTGGAAAAGAGAAAGAACTCGGAAAAAAGCAGCAGTCAGAAGTAAACACGAGCCCATAGATACTCCGATGTACAGGCATATATATTGTCACATATCTACGAACAAAAAGAGCGCACTTTGCGAAACAACCGGTAATCCCATACATTTAGGCCTACGTATAGGCATATGTACAAGCCCATATCTATAGGGCCGGTATAGGCATATGCATAAGCCCACAGATATACATCTATAAGCAAAGAAACATAGGTTCGAGTGAGTCGGGACCACGGCGAATATAACTTAATAGGTCAAAGTGTCAGATTGTGAATTTGAAAACACGGGTTCAACTCCCGTTATTCGCCTCTTGCATCTAAACTCTAGGCATATCCACAGACATACATGGGCATATATCGGCAGACATAGGCCTATACATAGTTCTATACTCTACAATCATATAGACATGCCTATACGTAGGCTGGCAAATGTATAGACATGTATAGGTATCTATAGGGCCAGGCCTATGTACAGGCAAATAAATGGCCTACATAAACGCATCTATGGGTATCTATAGGTGTATGTACAGATGTGTCCATAACCCTATCAATAGGCAAATACATACGCATATAGATATATCGGCATCTACAGCAATCTCCAAGCCTATGTAGAGCCATACACACAGACATATAGATACACATATAGATACACATACCGATACACATACCGATACACAGTTCTATATATCCATTATCTATACATATAAAGGGGTATATAGGCAGGGTTCCATATGTGGCCAACGGTTGACTGGTGGCGGTCCACTGGATGAGTTATCAAAAAAACTAGATGACCTCTTGC